ATGGATGACACTACATTATACGAGGTACTAGATGTCAGCCACCATATTTCTGGGAAGCAACTGGGTGGTGCTGAATGTAAAGTTAAGAGCGTTTTAAGGTTTACTGAAGAAGATATGATGGAGTTAAATCAAACGAAATGCAAAGAAATGATAATTGACTTTCGGAAAAATGTAACTGTTATTCCACCGCTAGAAATCAATAGTCATGTATTTGAAAGGGTTAAATGTTACAAATTACTTGGTTTATGGATTGATGACAATTTGAAGTGGTCAACCAACACATGCTATATTGTTAAAAAAGCGGTAAAAAGACTGTATTTTCTGAAGATGTTAAAAGGTTATAATGCACCAAAGCAGGATTTAAAAGCCTTTTATATAGCTGTCATAAGATCGACACTTGAATATTGTGCTCAAATTTGGCATGGAAACTTAACCAAGGAACAGTCTACTGACATAGAACGAGTTCAGAAGCGTGCGCTTAGGACAATTTGTCCTGGACTGATTTATGAAGAAGCATTACTGGACTGTAACCTTAAAACATTAAAGGCTCGCAGAGAAGAGATGTGCGGAAAACTTATAAAAACAATGATAAAAACAATGACCCTAGACATAGATTACACAGTTTATTGCCAGAAACAGTTAATCAGATAAGACAGAGACAAACTAGATCAAATGGAGAAAAACTGAAAAATTTTGGATGTCGAACTGAACGATTTAAAAATAGCCCAATTGTGTATGGGATGGAATGTTTTAACCGAACGCTGGAGTCGAAGTAAATTTATCGAATTCTTTCAAAAAATTTAAAATTTTTTCTAAGATTACTTGTAAATATTGACTCTTAACATAAGTCTTAGTTAATTTTTTTTATACAGTTTAAATGTAATTGACATTGTAAATTAGTATTTACTATTTACTATTTAATGTGAAATTCTAGAAAGATTAAAGATTAAAGATATAATTGCCAAACAGCTAGACCTTGGTTTAACGTAGACATCTCAAGGAAAAACTGCATTCTTTTATGATTTTTGTGGCGGTTTTTCCTTGTTTTCTTGTTTATTTTTCACTGATTTCTAGTGTTTTGAATAAAATTCCCGCCTATTTGCAAAATATATACGATTCCCCAATCATGTTTAAAATGTGTGTCAGCGGACGTTACTCGCTGCTTACTTTATATAATTTTCTGTTTAAACGCCCTGCTCAAGCCCCACGCACAGTTAACTACGTGATTAGTTAACTATCCGACTAACTACGTTTTGTGCAACGCAGTTAAGTCATGTAGTTAACTAATTACAGTTAAGGATTTAACTACAGTGATTAACGCTAACTACAGTTAGCGCTAATTATGTTTTTATACAACCGGCCCCTGGCGTGTATGGACCTTAAGAGTTTTATACAACCGGCCACTGGTCTGTCCCAGCGAAGGATGGAAATAGTATACATATAATTGACTGATGCATACAGGATTTTCCACTGGAAATGGCAAGCAGTAACAAATTATTTCGATAATTACTACACTTCTGATAACTATTTAATATATTCCTAACAACAACATTCTTTAATTTGCAAAGTTACAAACTTTATCTTGAAGCACTTCAATTATACTGCATTACCGATAGAACTGTTCAGTAAACCTTAGTTATCAATAATTATAGTGATGACATGTCAGTATATTATAACTACGCAATCTTTTATATATAAGTTATATTATCGAATATTTAATATTTACCATAATTAATAAGCTAGGAATCAATACACATTATTTGGTCAAACTAGTACAATGTAAACAAAGCTCTATATATCTGCACAATTATAACAAATAGGATTGTTAATTAATGGTCAAGGAATAATTATAAACTCGAAATTCATTGTAAGATAACTTTACCAACTTGAATGGGACATTTGAACTTTCGTTGTTTGCATTATAAACCTAAATAAAATTCATGTGAAAATTACTCAAAAATAGAATATTATCCACAATAACGATAGATAACTACAGTACCATGCACGGGGCGAGAATCTAATGACCACATATGCCCTGCATGGGTACTCAATGATTCCATTTATTGCGTTTGCAACCTATAATTTTGTTGTAAATATTAATTCGTCATAACCGCGAAATCATTCTAGATTGTTTGCACAAAACGTGCAACAATTGTTAATTTTTCATTGCATGGCCACTTGTCTCTCAACGTTAAATTCTCAGGGGCGGCGCTACAGGTGGGTGTGGGGGAGGTCGGTGTGGTGGAACCCCAATGCCGGGCTAAATGTAAATTTTTGCCCACCTTAATTCAACCAAAGTAAGAATTTTTTATGCTGATAGCTTTTAAAATGTCAGCGATTTTAGAATTCGAATCGTAGTTCGATTAACTGAACACACTACGGTGTAAGGTTTAAAAACTGACGGGTATTGTGTATATACGTTAGATGTTTGAAGATCAAATTTCGCGCGTCTGGAGTTAAAATTTGGCTCCAACTTTCGAATTTTCCGGCTGGAGGTAACGTTCCAGTTATATTCCGATTTCAATGATTCGTAAATGCGTGATTAATAGTGCTCCAAGACGTGGCACAGATTTTAAGAAATGCCGAGATGTGCCGATCTAGGTCAGATTTAGGTCGGCCCTCTTTTCCGACCTCAATTGTGACGGTTTTGACTTTTCGAGGGCTGCAAAATGGATGCCGACAAAGGAAAAAGGTCGCTTCGCGCAGAAAAATTCGCTAGTGGAAAACCGACTTAATAGAAGGTAATAAAGCGCATTTAAACATGCACATTTACTATAGATGGCCCTGAAGGGGTAAAATGGGAACTGGGATTGATCTATTTTTAGACTGGGAAAATGGGATTTGGGTTGCTGGGACTGGGATTTGGCCACTGGGAATGGGAAATGAAGTCCTCAAAAATGGGAATGGGATTGAAGTAATGTGAGTCGATTCCCAATTGTGATCCGTTTTTGGTGTCTTTAGTCACGATTTTTGTTGTTAACTATATTATTCACAGCATTACTTGCGAACAGGCATACCCTGGCGCCCGGAATTTTGGGTTTTCTGATTATGCGTGTCTCAGAATGATGCAAATGCCATTTCCGGGATTCACGAGCCCCCCCCCCCAATATTTCATAAAGTGTCCGCCACTTGCACACACGGTGGCTTAAAAGGTCTTAAAACTGTTTATTCTACCGATAAATAAAGGGGTTTTTATTGACTGGGATTTCAATAATTCGGACTGGGATTTCTAATAAAAATCCAACTGGGACTGGGATTTTGCCAACATTTCAGGTGGAAAATGGGATTGGGACCTCCCCCGCCCCCCCCCCGCTTCAGGACCCTCACTATAGGCTAATGACTCGGCAAAATTACCAAACAACAGTCGGCAAAAGATCACTCACACCCCACCCCCCACTCGAAGAGGGTTAGCGCCGCCCCTGTAAATTCTAGTACGGATAACTCTTGGATGATCTATAGTTTAACAAAAGGTGAAACAAGGGAACACGTTAGAATGAGATTTGTTTTATTTTCCTCGAAAAATAAGAAATAAATAAATGGTTTAGGTGCCTGTTCTTTCATAGTACCGACGGTTCTCCGAGTACTCCCCGGCTAATTAGGCGGAAAATGGCTAATTAGGCGGGAATTTGGGAATGGAAAGGAGAGGGGAGTGCAACTAGCAACCACGTGATGGTTTTCAACCAATGAAATTATTTAATTTTAAAATTTGTTCTCATTATGCTCGTAGCAGTATCCATGATAACAAAAAATACAAAATTTGCTAGCGATTCTTAAAAATCAGGTAAACGACCGTTTCTTGATTCACTATACTATTAAAAATACATCGATAGTAATCTCATTCTAACGTGTCCCCTTGGGGAACTGCATGGAGTACACAGAGAAATTCTGAGGCGTTTGCTAGAGTATAACTATTACTGGAAATACATGCATGCAGCAACCCCTCGCCTACATTTTCTAAACATTGATATAACATGAAGTATTAGGAATTGATCAACACTGAACGCAGGCTCCCGTTTACGTCAGTTTTGCCATGGCAACACACTTTTGTACAAGACGGCAAAAACAATTGAAAGATTATTGCTTTTAACTAAATAACAATCAATTTCCGAAAAATGTACTGTAGGTATGTTGTTCTGGATTTTGTGAGCTTTGATTTAATGTAAAATTTAAATTAAACCTGAATCGCTTCGTAAAATGTTTTGGAATGTTCATTTTAATAACTAAACTGCTTTTGCCGATAAACTGTTTTTACTTCAAATTGTTGGGTAATTTCAATTAGGTCTTCAAAATAATTTGCTCTCCGTTTAAATACATTTTACCCGCTTTTTTTTCTTAAATTAAACAGGGTAATTTAGGAAACTTTATACAGCTTCATTGAAAAGGAAAACGTGAGTTCATATTTTAAACATTCAAAGCAAACTTGCACTATATTCCACGATTTCCCATACTAAATTAATTCTTCTCATTTCTTCAAACAAAAATTGCTTCAAAGCTGATTGTGTGGAACGTGATTTTCCAAATATATGCTTTTGAAAATTGAAATATTGCTTTAATATCCTCAGTGTGCTAATCCCACTCCTAGCAAACAGCCATATTTTTGAGATCAGTGAGGAGGTCCGCCCATGAGCCATAGTCACGCGCCCGCCATCATTGACGAACTTTAGACTTGGCTAATGCTTACCTTTCCCCGGGTGTAAATAGCCGTGCGGAATTGGTACCCTCGCCCCGTGCTAACGCCCGCAACGGCGCTCCCCAATGTTGGCTCGGGGATTAGTACCATTCTTCCAACACTCGACTAAGACAAAATTGTAATGAAGTCGAATACACCAAGTTTTGCAGAAGAAATTGTGTGGCGTTTGGCCGTCCAAGAGTTAAACTGCTGATATTGTTCTAACTCATGGCTAAGACAGAACTATGCAGACTGTTCAGCCAAACCTTCCGCCTGAAAACGACGCAAGCATGCACACTGTGCATGGCACCTCTTATCTCCCAGATATACCTCACGGCCGTTTGTCACACACAAGCAAGTCTTCTCCAAAAACCTTCCATTCACTCCAGCGGCCGGTCCCCTCGTACAACACAACAATGTCATTGACGTTGCCGTAATTCAAGTTTAGTATTGTGCCATTCAACCTGACGAAGTCATCAACGCAAACCCACACTTGAAATTTGTTATTGGGATCACACGCGGACAATTTGACTCGGTTAAAGTTAGCCGGTGATTCAGGAGCGCCGAGACATGTTTGATTGAAAATACTTTGAAGTTGGTTGTATTGCGTCCACCGCCACTTTTGATTATCTGTCATCGGGTTGCATGTATGTGCGGTGATCATCTCATTTCCGATTGAGATGCATTTTCCGTGGGCAGCACTGTGCATGAGAAATTCTTTAGCTGCGGTTGCTATAAACGCAAAGGAAAATTCGTGTTAAAAGACCACAAAGCTGGAGTGCGATTGTAGTCGTGATTTTGATTTCACATCAAGTTGTACTGCACGAAGTTCACTGTCCACGATATTTTATTAATTTGCAAAGGGTGTTTGAAAACCGAAACATTATTCATTTATAGACCTGGAGCGAGGTGGATTATGCGAAATATTACCCGAAGTGATGATATTTTCCGAAGGACTTTGCCGCGAGGGAAATATCATCACAGAGTGTAATATTTCGCCGAATCCCCCGAGCAGAGGGTCTATAAATTATATTAATATTAAACCGAGAATTAAATGCCTCCAAGTTGAAAATGTAAAGCTTGCCACATACCTTCGTGAATAGTGAACTTTAGTGAACTAGATACATTATTTAATATTAGCGTTTCCATATGTAAAGGATATATGAATAAAATGAAGTGTTCTACTCATCCACTACACTTTTTACTGCCCAACCTAAATGCGGGACGTTGTTTTATATAGAGACAAGAAGTTTTGTAAAACTAAAAGAACTGAAGACTTTTTTACCTTTAAATATTTCTAGCTATAAACCTTAACGTAGATTTACCATAATAGGCCTATGTAAATAACTCAGTCATATCAAACTTTCCCCCTATATGAATGAACATTTGCTCAAACTAGTGTCCTGTGAAATTACAGACGGCCCAGTGTTGAAGCCCATTATATTAAATATTAGATATGTGCCAAACTGGTTTGGTAATACCTTCATTAAATTAAATTAAATTAAATAAAGTTTATTATTGTTACTATTATATGACGGAGAGAGTGAGACCTAAGCGCGCACGCTTCGAGCACTGAACCGTTTGACTTATAAATCGAACACGATGTATCGAGTAAACCTGCTGAAAAACCTAGAAAAGACAACTCATTTTATGAATACGATTGACAACAATAATGGCCAAGCACGAATCATATTAAACTTTGATCCTCTTGTCGTTTGTATTCTGATGCCATAGTGTATACAGATCAAGTAACTATACGGTATTAATCAGATAATGTATATTACTAAGCAGCATTTCCCAAGCGTAAACTTCAGTTATAATGAAGCAGTATAACTAATTTTATTAAAAGTAAAATCATTACAATTGTTCAACACTTATCTGGTGTACAATATAAGACATATAAGGTATATTATATATAAGGTAGAGTCGAGATCGAGTCTGAGACGTCCCTTCGCCATCTCTTGCAGCCGAGCGAGTGAATTACTAATGAGCTTGTAAACACAAGCAAAACCAGTGTTTCCACAAGGCATCATTCAAATTTCCTTGATTTTGCTTTAAAATTTCCTTGAATTTCCTTGAAATGGGATGTAATTTCCTGGAAATTTCCTTGATTAACTGAAGTATATTTCGGCAACTAGAATTCATGAATACTTATATAAAGTAAGACAAACAGAATGGTATATTTCTTTCGTTCAACTCTTAAAAACAAAGCCTTTACACAACAATTTTGAAAGCTTTAAAATGTAAAATACTAGAGTTTTTTAAAACTCGTTCATATTGTTCTCAATAGTCAACAAATTCACATGACAAATAAATTCATATAACCAACACGTGGTAGCCTGCACACAGGACGCTAGTTGATTTCCGCCTAAAATTCAGATTGTGTGCAGCCTACTTAGTTGAATTAAAATTCTAGATTCTACTGACTCGTTTACAGGCTCCGAAAAAGGTTTTTTCATTTTTGCACACAGACATATTGGTTATGAATGAAGGAAAGTAATATAATTTAAAATTACTGAAAGGTTCCGGAAAGAATCTTCAAAACATTTCAGTTGATTCAAAAATTCCTTAAATTTCCTTAGAATTTTCAAAAATTCCTTAGATTTCCTTGATTCCTTTTTTTTCCTTGAAACGTCTTTTTTCGGTCAAAATTTCCTTGAAAAAGGAAATTTCCTTGAAAGTGGAAACACTGGGTATGAAGCGGGGGAAAACACAGAATGAGCAATACAGTGTCACGGAACACAGTGCATTATTGCATCACAATGCACGCGTATTAGCCAATCGAATTGTCTGTTATATCCCACTTATATTATATTTCCAGCCAGATAAAAGGCCCTGTGATTGGGCGAAGCCAATATGGCGGTCAGTAGAGTCATCTCTTGAAGGTACTGTATATGTAGGCGTGTATTTCCCGCTTCGGTAGTTGAAAAATGACTGCATGAGGTTTTACGATCGATGTTTTTGCGTGTACTTTTTCAAAACAATTAAAGGGAAAGTTAATTTTTATTGTCTCGTTTCCATGAAGGCTGTAGTGAAAAAAACTCCAATGATATTGCACACTTAATGTCTGCTCCCGAGGGAAATAGTTTTGTTCCCTTCAGGCTAAAGAGTGTCAATGTAGAGACATCAAACATTGAGATTCGAGGGGAAACAAAATTAACTGTATGATGACGAAAGCAAAATCAACAACATTCATACAATAAGAAACTGTATGTAAACGGTTTTAGCAGCATATTCTTTTGCTTGTTGTGTATTTGTCTTCTCTTTTACATTCTTTATTTTTACACAAACTTGGAATGGTCGTTTACAGTATAAATTTGTGAGTTATGCTGCCATTTTGTTTATTTATGTACGTAGCCGGTCGGGGTTGGCTGTCGTGGGCAACAATTTTTCACTTGTTTCCTGGTGAGATACATTGCATTTATCTAAAACCACGTGAACAAATATCAGTCAATCACGTTGCAGGGCCTTTTTTAAGTATTTTCCTGGGGGGGGGGACTGGGGCACAAGGGGGGACTGGGGGAAATTGCCCCCCAGCTTGTATGTTAAAAAAGCCCTGTCACTTTGAGCGTCCATCCTAGGTGTATAACAAATTGATATATGCTTACCTAGATAATTAAGGAAGAAGTACTCTTTACGGTTGATAGTACTGACAGAGTGAAATTGATCGAGTGCTTCAATAGCCACATCAGGAAGTTTCTCGATAAGAAGAGATAATCCAGAGTTTCCCACGTTGTCATGAACACCAGCTGGGGCGCCATGTTGGACAAGCAGTTTTGCTGACTTAGCACGATTCATTTCTGCGGCAACCTATAATTTAACATCACATAATGAGTTTTCAGAAAAGTATAGTTTTCTTGACGAATACGTATCTAAAAACTTAAAAATTGCCCTTGTATATGTATTAATTTCATAACTGGTAATTAACCCACTGTATTTGTTTGTAAAAATATTTTATCAACGTAAAATATTGCGTTTTCAAAATGTCATTATGCGATGTGATGTCACACCGGTGATATTTGCATATGAAACAAAGTTGAATATCTTGCAAAGGAAGCAAGTTACCAAAATTCTATAAAAGAAATTATTAAGTCATTTTAAGTGATCTTTACAATGCAATCATAAACATTTGGGGTGAAATTTCGTGTCATAGGCACTTTAATATACGTTTATGAGCTAATGGTGGGCAAAACATGCTCTAGGGGGGCGCAATTCAATTTCATTTATTAATTTTAACCAAACAAAAAATACAATTAAAAAAAAACAATTAAGAGAGAGGAAAAAGTATTAGGAAGTAGGACCTGTGTTAGGAAGTTTGGTAAGGAAACCCAACAGAAGCTACAAAAGCTTACAAAGTGTTGGGCACCTTAAAATTAGGAATATTTATCAATTAAATGTCTAACATGTAGTAATACAAATAGTCAAAATATTTAACAATTATTCGCCGAACGCGAAGTGATTACCGGTAGTCTAGGACCTGTATATGAGTTTGTATGCATTTCATTTAGCACAGGTAATCTCAACTGTTTTAGGGTAAAATGACCATGGCGGTCAACATGGCATATGTGCCAAAACCTGAATCCGGGACGAAAGTCCTGAAAATGTCCCCGCCCTGAAACGGCAGTGCCGACATAGCTCTAACTTCCGAAAAGCAAAAGCCTTTCTGAAGTGCTTATAGTGTTTAGAAGGGTTGCTTTTAGGGGTGATCATTGGAAGGAAAAATTTGTCTAAGTATAATATTTTACAAGAAAATGACCATGCATCACCCCAGGTAAATTGCTGATTATGCATAAAATAACTAATATGCCTGGCAGAAATTAAATATCCTTATTTCCTAAAAAAAAATCTCATGGGATAAAAAACTATGCTTAATTTAATATAACTATTGTAATTTTCATAAGGATTGTCGTTGTTTTCTTTAAATATAATACATTTTATTTCACTTACCCCCCCACGACAGGCTAATAGTCAATCTTTTATAGTTTCAAGTATTTATAGACCACCATGTTCCGCTAGTGAAGTGTTTATAAAAATTGAGAGGCTAATCAAATCAATTGATGATGAAAATATAGAATTTTATATTTTGGGAGATTTGAATTGTAATATGCTAGAACCAACTTTGTCCACCACTAGAAAGCTTCAACCTACGCGTATTACCCAGTCTAGCCAATCATTATTGGATGTAGTAATTGCGTCAATGCCTGAAAAAATAATTTTTTCAGGTGTAGTCCATCTCGGAATTAGTGATCACAGCCTCATTTATAGTATTCGGAAAATAAATACAAGAATAAAAACTGATTTACAAGGTTCTGTCGAGTATAGAAATTTTAAGAATTTCAATGTTTCAGGCTTTCTATATGACTTATAAAATATACCCTGGGAAGAAATAAGATTTAAAAGAAATGTAGATGAAATGTGGCGGTTATGGAAAACATTTTTTGTAGATGTGCTGGATAAACATGCCCCTGTGAGAGTGAAAAGATTAAGAAAAGGGGGCAATATTCCTTGGGTAAGCCGGGAAGTAAAGGAAAAATTATTTAAAAGAGATGCTCTTAAGCGTAAAGCAATAAAGACAAATAAAGAAGAAGACTGGAGACTATATAAGTCATCTAGAAATGTTGCCAACACTGCTTTGCGCAGTGCTAAAAGAGATTATTATGCAAACAAATTCACAAATAATAAACAGAATCCTAAATATGCTTGGAGAACAATAAACGATATATTAGGTCGAAACAGAAAACAGACTACGATTAATGAAATTAAACTTCCAGGTAAAACTGTTACATCGACCGACGAATTAGTCGACATTTTTAATGATCATTTTAGTAATATTGGCCCAAAGCTTGCTGAGTCTATTCCAAATGACAATGACGTTAGTTTTCGAGATTTTATTACTCAACAAAAATCTAAGACAAAGAACAGTTTCTCATTTCGACCAGTGAGTGTAACATTGGTTTACACTCTTCTAGTTAATTTGTCTACCACCAAAGCGACTGGAATGGATAAAATTTCAGCTAAAATTCTACAAGTAGCAGCTCCAGTTATTGCACCTTCTCTTACTGAGATTTTTAATATGTCAATTGACTCGGATCAATTTCCTTCTGATTGGAAAGCTGCAAGGGTTATTCCATTGTTTAAGAAAGGTCAGCGGTCCATGTTGGACAACTATAGACCGATATCAATCCTTCCTGTAGTAAGTAAACTTATGGAAAGAATTATGTATGATCAAATGTATGAGTATCTTAACCAGAATAATCTTTTCTCAAAACACCAATTTGGTTTCAGACCTTATCATTCCACAACTACTACATTATTGGATTGTACGAACGAATGGTATACCAACATGGACCGTGGGCTGTATAACTTAGTTGTTTTTCTTGACCTAAAAAAAGCATTCGATACAGTCGACCACGAAATACTGTTAAGTAAGTTTGAAATGTATGGTTTCCAAACGAAAGCATTAAATCTTTTACGTTGCTATTTGACGCACCGAACTCAAAGTTGTCAATTGGCCAGTATACTCTCTGTGGAGAAAGAAATCATTTGTGGCATTCCTCAGGGAAGTATACTCGGCCCTCTCTTATTTATTATGTATATAAATGATTTGCCAAGCTGCCTAGAACGCACAACTCCAAGAATGTTTGCTGATGATACTAACTTAACGGCAGTTGGCAGAACAATTAGTGAGGCGGAAGAGAGGGCGAGCGTAGACATGAGGAATGTTCAGAAATGGCTTTGTGCAAATAAACTAAGTCTAAGTATAGCGAAAACCGAGTATGTTTTAATTGGAACACGACATAAAATAAGTAATATTGATACCCATCAAGGAGTTAAAATAAATAATCAATTGATTAAAAAAGTTAAAAATACCAAAGCTCTTGGAGTTGAATTAGACGAAAACTTGAGTTGGGAAAAACACATTAACCATATTAGCAGTAAAATATCATCAGGTATTGGGGCTATTAGAAAAATGAGGGAGTATGTCGAACAAGACATTTTGATAAAAGTTTATAATGCCTTAATCCAACCTTATTTTGATTATTGCTGTGAAGTATGGGATACACTTAATAAAGGCCTAAGCGAACGTCTACAGAAATTCCAAAACAGAGCGGCTAGGTTGATCATGAACTTAAAAAATTAACATGGTCAGTCTATTTTGGCACGAAAATCTCTAGGCTGGGTAACACTTGAAGAGCGTAGGGCACAAATGAAAGCCAGGCTCATGTACAAGACAGTTAATGGTTTAGCCCCCCAACGACTATGTGAAGCTTTCCAAAATCTGAATACCATTCATGACCATAATCTGAGAGGTTCTTCAACAAGGTTTTCTATTCCAAGACCAAAAACGGAATCCTTAAAAAAAGCTTCCAATATAGTGGGGCTAAACTATGGAATCAGATACCTGAAGAGATACGCAATTCGGTATCGTATAATTTGTTCTGTAAAAAGCTATCTTCCTCGACCTTAATCTCGACTTAAAGTAGTAGTTAATTTTTTGTCTAAATAGGTATATAATTGTATTTGTTATGTATGTAATATTAGAGCTAGTATATAAATAATAATTTGTAAGTACACATCCCTTTTGGAAATCAGCTTTTGCTGAAAAGGCCAATGTGTTTAAATAAAGTTGATCTATCTATCTATCTATCTATTATGCCGACTTGTTTGCTTTTTATCGCCGAGTCTCGCAAATATCATCCAGTTGTTGTACTTTTACATAATCATGAATGGCTAAAGAAGATTTCAAGCAAGTTTTGTGAAGTTTTGAAGCAGTGCAGTGTATTTTATCTTCGACATTGTGTCCTTCGGTAATTCGTCAAATTGCCGCCATGTTAATGGCTCGCCGCTTCTCTGCCCGATAAATGCCACTTCTTCGTCTTCGTATGTATTTAGATTACAGTATCCAAGAGTACTTCATTGTAGAATAGTCCCAATCGAAAATTTGATAAGATTATTTGTATTTGAAACGGTATAACCTCCCAAATGAAATTTACGATTATAATTTTAAAAAGTCATTTGAAAGTCACGCGCAATCTTCGCGTAAACTTCTCGTGGCTACTTAACAGGGGGGGGGGGGCGAATATTTTCACGAAACGTTTGTTCGACACCACAGCGAACCCAAGTAAATATATTATATTTATTGTATTTTTATGATTTATGATAAAAACAAGAAATATTTGCGTATTTTTGCCCTATTTTTCTGGAATCCTTTAAGCGTTAACTACAATAAAATCCGAGGGACTTTTGCACCGTCATTTCAAGGGTATTTTATACAGAATATGTACGTTTCAGCCCTAACACATCAATTTCTTTACTCTGCAGTGGGCTCTGACGTTAAAAATCTGATTGGTACTATCTGATAATATACTAAATGGCAAGTCAAAATATACTTTTGACAGATGTCAAAATATACTTTTGACAGATGTAAAAATATTGTTTCACTTCTATTCGAAATTCGACTGTCGAAGTAACCGATCGATTTGGAAAGGCAAAAAGTAGTAGAAAGTACGCGCTGCTTTTGTATTTTGGCAATATTCTGTTATTCAACTTATTGTGAGAGAGGTCTTTAAATATGAAGACTTTGGGGAAACTGAAAATCAGTAAAATGGTAAGAAACAATAAAAAGCACGTGTATTACAGCGCGACAATGTGCTGTACGTTTATTAAACAATTTTAATAATATATTTATTTAGTAAGATAGCATTGTTACTCCATTAGATTTGTAATTACGCTTTTTTTATAAAAATTACTTTGTTTTTTGAAGTGGTACTGTTTGACGGAAGTACAAGTTTTTCTTATCTGTCTTTTCTTATCTTTAAATTATAAATATTTGTACAATTACGTGTCAAATATGATCTCGCAGTGGAGTCAAAAACTAATGTGAATATAGCCTATAGGAATGAGCGTGTAGGACTTATCTCAGTATTTAAACACGTTCTATCAAACTGAATGGATGATTCCAGCTATAAACTAAAATTTGATCTAGGCAAGGAGAACAAAATCCTTCACCACAGCTAGAAAGAGCACGTTAAAATTAGTAAAATTTTAATGTTCGGTTGCGAAATGTTGTAAAATGAGGAAAATATATCCCTACGGCTACGAAATTTGCAAATTTTATATTAATTTGTATTAGTATTACGCACGATCGCGAGATTTGCGTAATACAAATTAATATACGTATACAAACTTTGCAAATTTCGCAGGGCTATATTTTCCGCATTTAACAACATTGCGCGGTCAAACTTTGCACTTTTGACCAATTATAACATGCTCTTTCTAGTTGTAGTGATGGATTTTGTTCCGCTTATTGCCTAGATCAAAATTTCCTAGCCTGAGTCTATAGAATATAGCTGGAATTGCATATTGTCCTTGGAACAGTTTCCTTGAATCAAACTTGGCCTGCAAGGACAATGTGTGTCCTTTAAAAACTATTTATTCAATAATAACGGTTTATTGACCGAGTGTGCTGTCTGTACTGTGAAATATCAGACCGAGGTTTTTTAGTATGGACCGAGCGACGAAGGAGCGAGGTCCATGCAAAAAGCAGAGGTCTGATGTTTCACAGTACAGACCGAACAAGCGAGGTCAATAATCGGTTTATTATATGGCTGAACTGAGTCTGTGTGAGCATATGCTTTTCGCGCGAATTAAATCTGCTATCGTCAGTTTCACTCAGTAACAATATACGGTAGGCATGCAGCTCAATCAAAAAGAATTTGGTTGTTTGAAATTTTTAGCTGTAAATATTAATGACACACAATTGGAAAATTAAAAAGCAAAAATTTTTTCTGTTTGCAAAAGCAAAAATTTCCCGCCAGATAAACGACATCCGGGACACCGGTCCAGATACGGAAAATACGGACCACGGTCCGGATATTGGTTTTTACGGACCGCTTGTCAACCAATCAGAATAGAGAATTTTCGGAAAAGCCATATAATAATAGTCTTTTTATAATAATGTGCATAAAGCGTGCTTTAAATATTAATTTGAATCGTTATATACGTTTATAGTTTGGCCTCAAAATCGTTGTCAATTTCCCGGAAATACGCAACATTAGGGATGGCCCCTTAGAAAAGTGATGGGGGGGGGGGATTTTCTAAGAGGCAATATTTTTTTTGTACACCTATAGAAGAATTTTTTTCTCACTTGATAGCTAGAATTATTTTTTAAGTAAAATTTATAGGCCTATCTTCCAAGCTAGGAATTTTTTTGCACTATGCCTGGGAAGATTTTTTCCCCTAATTTTTTTCTGGAAATAATTTTTTTTGGTTTTGCCCCCCCCCCCCCCTCTCTCCCATCACTTTTCTAATGGTCCGCCCCTTAGCTGTATAGGTGTCCCATACATAGGCGTAAGAGACAGGGGGCAGGGTGGGGCAATTGTCTCCCCCCCCCCCCACCAAGTTAGGAAACACACGGAAATTCGGGCAAATGGTAGCAAAAATCAAGAAAATTCGGGCAGATTTATCAAAAAGTATGTTAAATTCAGGCAATTTCATTACAATCCTCTATAAAAATTCGGGCAAACTTTCAACTGCCCCCTGGAAAGCATCAGCCCCGTTCGCCTATGATTCCATACATTGAGAAATAATTTAATTTCAGGATGAGATACCTCTCTCTATTTGCCCCACGGGCACACGTAAAAAATCATCAGTCAACCTGGATGAATGCATATTATGCCAGACAAAGATTTCGTCTGAATACTTATCGGGTGGAGAAACTGGCAGAGCGCGTATTGTTGCCCTTGCGAAAGAGGATAAAGGTGGCGATAATCGAGCAAATAGAGTTCTAGAACTAACAGTGCAAGAACAGGAGCTCATCAAATACCATTCATCGTCATGCTACAGGCGTTTTCAGAGAGATATGGAGAAGAAAAGAAAAAAATCCGACCCCGTAACCCAGTCGGAGACACGTGAACCGACATCTATGGACAGCAGCACGAGCGACGAGCGACGCAGCAAAAGGTTTAAGTCGAGTTCCGTTATTAATATCTGTGTAATATGTGGTTCAGATTGTAAAACCGTGAAGCAAAAGAAAATACACAAATTATTGAGAGTTTGTGAAAAGCCGAGGGCTCAAAAATTACTCAACGCTGCCAAGTTTTTTAAAGATCGTGTTTATACAGCCACAGCGGCAATGCATGAACCCGAAGATGTTAATTTTGCGGCTGATATCTACTATCACGGCTGCTGTTGTAAAGATTATTTCAACAAATATAACGCTGATATAGAAGAAATATTAAAAAGCCTTGAAGAAGAGGATTCCATGATCGCTGGAGACGAATCATTCAAGGAGCAGTTTTTAGCGCTTGGACTTGATTTTACCACCACTGCATGCAGTCTAACTTCTATCAGAGAGCGACTAAATGAACATTTACCAGTACCAGTTTCAAACAGAGCTGTAAAACATTTAATTATTGAATTGTATGGAGATACTGTCTGTTTTACATACCCTAGTAATAAGAGAATCTCTCAAATGTTTTTTTCTGTGAAGAGTAATCCTGCGTCTTTGTTGGAGTCTATGCGGCGAGTTTCACCTGTCCAACAAGTTGCGACCGAACTTGCACAGGAGCTAAAGGATTACAAGTTTGGCCTGGAACGGAGCTTTTGTGAACCCAGAGACCTTAAATTATCAACAGACGTACTTCTGAAGAACCCACCGGCAAAATGGGAAGAATTCTGTTCCTTTTTATTCAAGTCGAATCTGATCTGTCAGGTAAAACGAGATGTTGTTTTCCAAATCCTGCACTATATAATGAGTGGTGGAAAAGAACCGACCCCTTTTCATGTCATGGTTGCGGAAGGAGTTCACAGTCTGACAAGATCTAAAGAGCTCTTAACTGCCCTCAATCGCCATGGTATTTGTGTTAGCTACAACACAGTTAAGAGAATTGATGTGGACATCGCGGAGCAGATAATATTCACGGCAGGTGACAATAGAATACCACTTCCTCCTGTCCTAGAATCATCAAGCCCACTCAACGCAGCCATGGACAACTTTGACCGTAACGAAAGTACACTTGCTGGCACAGGTTCTACACACGACACCATTCTGGTTCTTTTTCAAAATGTCCCAATCAACAAAGAAAATCCATCTGACGAAAGTGACATTTCGACAAGACCTTTCTCCGCTCAGAGTAGAACTACAGTAAAGCTTAGATCTAAAGTCCGTTGTCAACAGCTTATCAGAATGGGAGCAATGAAAGAACGTGGGGAGATAGACGAGAATTTCGAAGTATCAGAGTCAGTTTTCAACCCGTATTCAACCTTTGCAGAAAGAAACGATCCTTCAACGTCCGAAACACCCACAACTGGCGCCTCCTCAACAACAGAATCCTCAGTAACATGTGATGATCTAAACACTTCTGCGACAATTTTAGAGCCTTCTGTTGAAGCAACAGGCGAAATGCCTAATGTCAATGTGATCGGAACATCAACCGTCACCGGAACGTCTACTGATTCATCTTCATCGACAACAGACCCTGTTTCATCAATCAGCCTTTGCAAACAATCAATGAAATCGATACGTTTGGACTACTTTCTTTGGTTAGTGAACCGCTTAAATGGAAAGGCAGTGGAGTTGGGCTATGTTGTCCCGGGATTTACAGCCTTGAGAAGTTCCATCGTGAATTTGAATTTCCATGCTACTACAAAGATTTTAACTCCAATCCTTCCATATCCAGCTACCACATACGATGCAATACTAACCACAATGATCAACTTTCAAGATGCCTTGAAACAGAAAGGTGATTCTTACGGTGGATTATGGGCTGATGAGAGTGTTTATCGTATTGCGAAGGAAATACAGCTTCTAAAACCAGAACTGTTCAATAACATATTTCTTGGTCTTGGTGGATTTCATATGGAAAAGATTGTTTTCGCGTGTCTTGGAGCGTATTTGGAACCATCAGGGATTTTTTCTGTTCTAGTCGAGACCGAGTGTTATGGCCCGGATACCATTAACAGCGTAATCTCCGGTTCCCATTATTCTAGAGCTCGCACTGCCCACTCAATGATACATGAAGTGCTCATGTCCATGATGTTCGAAGAGTTTATGGCGGAAAACCCCGAGAAAGAAATGGAAGTCGAGGGATTCGTGATTGATTGTCAATCCATTAACTTTAGTGGTGAAGTATGGAATGCCACGAAAGAACGAGTTGAAGCCACGGAAGAAGACTTCGAGCTATACCTACAAGATATGCCTTCGAAATCCAAGTCTTTTGCTTTTTGGAACACGTGTGTCTCCGACCTTTACCCAATAGCAAGAGATCTTACGAATTCCATGCGTTCTGGAGACTGGACACTGTACCTTAGTGCCGTCGAGAGAGCAACTTCACTGTTTTGCTTCTTTGGCAGAACAAACTACTGTAGATGGACACCAATGTTTCTACAAGACTGTTATCAACTGAAAGATAAGTTTCCTCTCCTCTACAAATCATACATGGACGGTGGATTCGTTATGAACGGTAACAGAAAAGGGAGTGGAGTTCCATTTGACCAAGCTCTTGAACAGTGTTACAACCGACCGGCAAAAGTTAGTGGCGGCATAATTGGGGTGACCAGAAAGAAAGACGCGGTGGCTTTGTGGGACATTATCAAACACAAGAAAGACCAGTATGTTCATCTTCTAAAGATGCAAGAGGATGTCGAAGGAGAGTTGTCACTTCATCACGACTTTAACCAGAGTACCGCAACAAAGATTTCTACAATAGTTCAGGAAATAGATTAATATCTTCGAAAAGTATGTGGTTCAATACTAGATCAAGATACACTTAAGAACGTCGTAACAGGGGAAATCATTACGGAAGTCAATGTGGATATGCTATTATGTTGCATTAAAGAAGGAACAGATGCTTATGCTAATTTTGTCAAAGATCGATTAAGAAGCAAGACAACATCTATCCATTCAACAATTAGCAGAATTAAGTTGAAGACCTCAAAGAAAACATCGCGTTTGACTTCCAAACTGGACATCAAGGAAGAAACGATCAAGGCTCTGATGTATGTAGAATATGCACGCCACCGTGGTTTCACCGTTGAAAAGCTACTCGTGCATGAGATTACCAGTTCAGCTTTCTTTTTGGTTGACAAAGATGGTTTTTTGAGGAAGAGCACCAAATCTCAACTTGGATCTGAGTTATTGAAGTTGTGTCCACAAATCAATCCCAAAGACCAAGAAAAAACTCCATCAACGAACGCGTATATAATCGATTTTATGGCTTTGGTTAGAAAAGTCCCCTTGAAGAAACTTGAACCACCTGTGAAGACATTCCACGATCTTGCCGTTGCCTTGACTGCTATGATCACCAATACCGCATGCAACTGTGAAGAGATCCACATTGTTTTCGATACTTATAAAGAAGACAGCATCAAGAATGTCGAACGAAAGAGAAGAGGGAAAACTAAACAAATGGTTGTGCTTGATGTTATATCACCGAATCAGAAAGTTCCAGTGGTATTAGAGAACTTTTGGGCTTCTTCCGTCAGCAAAACGGCTTTCCAGGCTTTCTACGTTGAGTGGCTTACTACCAATTATCAAGGGAATAAAGTACTTTATCTTGGTATATCTCCAAAGGCGTGGCGTGTTTCAAGTGGACGTGCTTCGCCGTTTCCTCGTCTAGATTGAACACATGAAGAGGCAGACGATCGGATGATGTTTCACATACAGGATATTTTATGTCACCGACTTGGCCAAACCACAATTACCTTACTGTCAGGCGATACCGATGTCTTCGTATGCTTGTTATACCATCTTTCAATTAATTGGCTTCATCAAGACCTCACAGAACTTTGGCTTATCCGTAACTCAGGTGTGAAACGATCAATTTTACCTCTCCATGAAATATGCACCACCCTTGGTAGAGATTTACTTAAATGTCTTCCAGCACTCCATGCACTTACTGGATGTGATACAACCAGTAAGATTTCAACAAAACTTTCTGCACTAAATACCATTCGCAAACGTGATGATGCTTCCTTGATACTAAATTTCGATTGTCCACCACCAATGACAGACAGCGCGATAGAGCTTGCAGAATTATTCTTGGTTAAGTGCCTGAAACCATCAACTGAATTGGAAACTTTTGATGAACTACGTCTCGCGGCATTTGACAGTAATTCTCTTAAATTGGATTTCGAGAAAACTGTTTGCACTTCAACGAATGCACGGAAACACATTCAAAGGAGTTACTACCAAATGCAACTGTGGATTCAAGCCCCATTTAGAGATGCTTCTCTACTTATGAATGCAGAATCTTACGGTTTCGAAAGAATTTACGGGGTACTACTTCCTGAGATTGTGATTAGTAAACCAGACAGTCTTCCTGATCCATGTAAATGCGGAAAGTGTGCTAGACAAAATGTTTGCCCATGCAGGGTTGCCGGGATAAAATGTTGCAAGTATTGCAAATGCAAGTCTGGGGAAGATTGCAAAAATCCAATCACAGAATAAATCTCGTTATGGTTCAAGATGATCTAAATTAAACATTATACTGTATGATCTAACGTAAGATGATCTAACGTAAATAATATATAACCTTCTTCGTCCACACTGCTGGCTCAAGATGATCTAGAGCAAATATTATCTAACTTTTTTCGTCCAGTTGCTGGTTCAAGATGATTTAATTTAATTAAACATTATATAACCTTCTTCGTCCACTGCACTGATGGTTCAAGACAATCTACATTTATTAAACATATGAACTTCTCGTCCACATTGCTGGTTCAAGATGATCTAACGTAAACATTATATAACCTTCTTCGCCCACGCTGCTGGTTCAAGATGATCTGAAATAAATATTAACCTTTTTCGTCCACATTGCTGGTTCAAGATGATTTAACGTAAACGTTAACCTTCTTCGTCCAGACTGTTGGTTCAAGATGATCTAAATTAATTAAACATTAGATAACCTTCTTTGCCCACGCTGTTGGTTCAAGATGATCTAACGTATACATTATATAACTTTTTTCGCCCACGTTGCTGGTTGAAAATGATCTAATTTAATTAAACATATGAATTTCTCGTCTACATTGTTGGTTCGAGATGATCTAACGTAAACATTATATAACCTTCTTCGTCCTCACTGCTGGTTCAAGATGATCTAAAGTAAATATTAACCTTCTTCGTCCGCACTGCTGGTTCAAGATGATCTAAATAATTAAACATTATATAACCTTCTTCGTCCACGCTGCTGGTTCAAGATGATCTAACGTCAACATTATATAACCTTCTTTGTCCACGCTGCTGGTTCAAGATGATCTAACGTAAACATTATATAACCTTCCTCGTCCACGCTGCTGGTTCAAGATGATAACGTCAACATTATCTAACTTTTTTTGCCCACGTTGCTGGTTCAAGATGACCTAACGTCAGCATTGTCTAACTTTCTTCGTCCAGGATGCTGGTTCAAGATGATCTAACCTCAACATTTGTCTTCTTTGTACACGTTGCCTGTTCAAGATGATCTAAAGCAAACATTATATAAGCTTCTTCGTCCACACTGTTGGTTCAAGATGATCTAAAGCAAACATTCTCTAAACTTTTTTCGTCCGCGTTGCTGGTTCAATATGATCTAATTTAATTAAACATTATATAACCTTCTTCGTCCACTGAACTGCTGGTTCAAGATGGTCAAAATTAATTAAACATTATATTACATTTCTCGCCCACGCTGCTGGTTCAAGACGATCTAAATTAATTAAACATTATATAACCTTCTTCGCCCACGCTACTGGTTCAAGATGATATAACGTCAACATTATCTACCTTTTTTTCGTCCACGTTGTTGATTGAAGATGATCTAACGTCAACATTAACCTTTTTCGTACACATTGCCTGTTCAAGATGATCTAAAGCAAACATTATGTAACCTTCTCGTCCACACTGGTGGTTCAAGATGATCTAAAGCAAACATTATCTAACTTTTTTCGTCCACTGCACTGCTGGTTCAAGATGATCTAAATTAATTAAACATTATATAACATTTCTCATCCACGCTCCTGGTTCAAGATGATCTAAAGTGGCCTAAATATTAACCTTCTTCGTCGACACTGCTGGTTCAAAATGATCTAAATTAACTAAACATTATATAACCTCCTTCGTCCACGCTGCTGGATCAAGATGATCTAAAGTAAACATTATATAACCTCGTTCGTCCACGCTGCTGGTTCAAGGTGATCTAACGTAAACATTATACGTAACCCCTTTCGTCCACGCTGTTGGTTCAAGATGATCTAACATATACATTATATAACTTTTTTCGCCCACGTTGCTGGTTGAAGATGATCTAATTTAATTAAACATATGAATTTCTCGTCCGCATTGTTGGTTCAAGATGATCTAACGTCAACATTATATAACCTTCTTCGTCCACGCTGCTGGTTCAAGATGACCTAACGTCAACATTGTCTAACTTTCTTCGTCCAGGATGCTGGTTCAAGATGATCTAACCTCAATATTTGCCTTCTTTGTACACGTTGCCTGTTCAAGATGATCTAAAGCAAACATTATATAACCTTCTTCGTCCACACTGCTGGTTCAAGATGATCTAAAGCAAACATTATATAACCTTCTTCGTCCACACTGCTGGTTCAAGATGATCTAAAGCAAACATTATATAACCTTCTTCGTCCACACTGCTGGTTCAAGATGATCTAAAGCAAACATTCTCTAAACTTTTTTTTTTCATCCGCGTTGCTGGTTCAATATGATCTAATTTAATTAAACATTATATAACCTTCTTCGTTCACTGAATTGCTGGTTCAAGATGGTCTAAATTAATTAAACATTATATTACATTTCTCGCCCACGCTGCTGGTTCAAGACGATCTAAATTAATTAAACATTATATAACCTTCTTCGCCCACGCTACTGGTTCAAGATGATATAACGTCAACATTATCTACCTTTTTTTTGTCCACGTTGTTGATTGAAGATGATCTAACGTCAACATTAACCTTTTTCGTACACATTGCCTGTTCAAGATGATCTAAAGCAAACATTATGTAACCTTCTCGTCCACACTGGTGGTTCAAAATGATCTAAAGCAAACATTATCTAACTTTTTTCGTCCACGTTCCTGGTTCAACATGATTTAATTTAATTAAACATTATATAACCTTCTTCGTCCACTGCACTGCTGGTTCAAGATGATCTAAATTAATTAAACATTATATAACATTTCTCATCCACGCTCCTGGTTCAAGATGATCTAAGGTGGCCTAAATGTTAACCTTCTTCGTCGACACTGCTGGTTCAAAATGATCTAAATTAACTAAACATTATATAACCTTCTTCGTCCATGTTGCTGGTTCAAGCTGATTTGGCATAAACATTATATAAACTTCTCCGTCCAGGTTGCCGGTTCAATATGATCTGACATAAACATATTCTAACCTTCTTCGTTCACGCTTCTGGTTCAAGAGGATCTAATGTAAACTTGTTAAACGTTGTACAGCTGTTCCATATTATGATCTACAATGAACATTATACATTATTAAGTTACCTTTGCCGCAGCGTGTTCCATATGATGATGAACGATGAACATTATATATTAAGTTACTTTGTGCTGCTGTTCCATGTGACGATCAATGACGAACATTATGCATTATTATACTTTGTGCCGTTGTTCCATATGATGATCTACGATGAACATTATACATAATTAAGTTACTTTGTGCCGCTGTTCCATCTGATGATCTACGATCGATGAACATTATACATTATTAGTTATACTTTGTGCCGCTGTTCCATATGATGATCTACGATGAACATTATAGATTATTAAGTTACTTTTTGCCGCTGTTCCATATGATGGTCTACGATGAACATTATAGCTATATTATTAAGTTACTTTGAGCTGCTGTTCCATATGATGGTCTATGATGAACATTATATATTACTAAGTTACTTTTGCCGCAACCTGTTCCATATGATGATCTACGATGAACATTATATATTATTAAGTTACTTTGTGCCGCTGTTCCATATGATGGTCTACGATGAACATTATATATTATTAAGTTACTTTGTGCTACTATTCCATATGATGGTCTACGATGAACATTATATATTATTACTTTGTGCTGCTGTTCCATATGATGATTTACGATGGACATTATACATTATTACTTTGTGCCGCTGTTCCATATGATGGTCTACGATGAACATTATATATTATTAAGTTAGTTTGTGCTGCTGTTCCATTATGATGATTTACGATGGACATTATACATTATTACTTTGTGCCGCTGTTCCATATGATGGTCTACGATGAACACTATACATTATTAGTTACTTTGTGCTGCTGTTCCATATGATGATCTACGATGAACATTATAGATTATTAAGTTACTTTGTGCCGCTGTTCCATAAGATGGTCTACGATGAACATTATATATTATTACTTTGTGCTGCTGTTCCATATGATGATCTACGATGGACATTATACATTATTACTTTGTGCCGCTGTTCCATATGATGGTCTACGATGAACAGTATATATTATTAAATTACTTTGTGCTGCTGTTCCATATGATGATCTACGATGAACATTATACATTATTACTTTGTGCTGCTTCTGTCACGTTGTGTTGCACTTGATGATCTACACCTACGATCTACACAGTTACTTCTTCCTGCTGTTTCACTGATCTACCTGAAACAATGCTTTGACTCTGATCAATGTTTTTGACAACATTTTTAACTCCGCCGTTGCCGGTCCCAAGCCCGGATGAGAAAGGAGGAGGGTTAGACAAGGGGTCAGCAGAAATACTCTGTTAATCTACTCTAATCTGTTAATCTACTCTAAAAGACTTGGTTAATCGAACCTGAATGCGTTTATCGGCATCTCCAAGAATTAACAGGTGGTGAAATTGACAGCCTGATTTGATATTGTTGGAATTGCACAGATATGGTAAGGTAAGTGAAAGAACATTTTGATATTTGTCAAAAGTACCCAATCAGATTTTTAACGTCAGAGACTGCAGAGTAAAGAAATTGATGCGTTAGGGCTGAAACGTACATATTCTGTATAAAATACCCTTGAAATTACGGTGCAAAAGTCCCTCGGATTTTATTGTAGTTAACGCTTAAAGGAATCCAGAAAAATAGGGCAAAAATACGCAAATATTTCTTGTTTTTATCATAAATCATAAAAATACAATAAATATAATATATTTACTTGGGTTCGCTGTGGTGTCGAACAAACGTTTCTCGGCGAGTATTTACCCCCCTTGTAAATAAAAGTCACCATTAAAATCCTAATAAAATAACCTTTCGAACGGGGGGTCAAGTGCCGTCAGAGCATTACACAAACCGAAACAATCATATATTTACTCACCGCTTGGCCAAAGATTCTAGATTTTATATCTACAAGATCTTGAATATCTCTTGAACTTTTCGTCATTTTCTGAACGGCTATATGTGTAAAATACTCTTTGTATCCAAGCGCT